TGTGTTTGTGTGTGTGTGTGTGTGTGTGTGTGTGCGGCTGACTGACCTTCACCAGCTCCATCACCAAATACAGCTCAGTGGGCGTGTCCAGCTCCTCTATTAGCATAATGATGCTGGGGTGATGAACCCTGCGCAGTATCGCCACCTCATTGGCTATCAGGTGCTCCTGTCAACACCAGTCAACCAATCAGAATCTCTGCTGTGTTTCACTGTTGTGTAGTGAGTGAATGAATATGTGAAAATGTTTACTAGTTTACTAAAAAAAACACTTTTTGTTACTTGAAATAAAAACAAAATTTCATTTTCAGCTGTAAAGCAGCTCTACAGAAGACAGTAGAGTCATAATTCAGTTTGAAGTTTACTCATTTGAAGTTTAATGTGAACTTTAATGTAAACTGAAGGCTATTGGGTATTGCTTATTCAAAAAAGTGCATAATTTCCTGTTTTATCTGGAAATAATAACTGAATACATCTATACGCATTTCAGATAATCTCAAAGGATCCTTATTCAACAATATGAATGAAATGAAGAAAGAGGGAAAGGCTTCAGACAGCAGAAGAGCTGATGAGGTATTTTAATTAGTCACTTTACTGTTTAAGAGGAAAGTGTTTGAAGTGGTACCTTGCCGCTGCATTTGGCCTTGTCAATGATCTTCAGCGCATATTCCTGTCCTGTAGACCTGAGACCAGCACACATGACATTCACAGCGAATACATGCAACCTCTGCAGTTAGTTTGATAGATAATGTCTCTCTAGTTACCTCTCCACACACTCTCTGACTACAGCGAAGTTTCCATCGCCGATCACCTTCCCCACTTTATACTTCTCAGTGATGACAGATGACTGAACTTCATTACCGTTCACTGCAGAGAGAGAGAATGTCACAGAACATCAAAACAACAGCCAATCAGAATGCACCTGATGTTTAATATGCAGCTTTGTGGGATTTGTGACCAATAGAATTACACTGTGGGCGGAGCTACTGCAGGCTGAGCAATATAAAACACTTATTTAATTGTTATTCTTTTAGTTGACAAAAATCATGCTATTGGACTAATTTCATGATCTTTGCCGCCACTCAGTTCAGACAAAGAATATTTATTATATTTAATATCAGTTCAGAAATTTTTAAATATGTCTTAACTTAAATATGATAAAAATTACATTTGGTAAGTTTGATTAATTTCACTTCAAACTGTCCATTTAAGTGAATTGATTTGTTATAGGGAGATTATTTGTTTGCGCTCACTGAATCCTCGCATGGAATTTTTCATGAATTAAAATGTATTAGTACAAATATCTATAGGTAAAAATTGAGCATATTATTAAATATGCTATCTTAATATTATACATAATATAAAATATTTTATTAAATATAGTTTTACTCATTAATTTTGTGAAGACAGTGCAGAAAGCTTTAACTAGACATTTACTGTATTTTACTGCTTGCATTAAACGTTGTGAAAAGAAAAAACATTGAAAACTTTTTTGTTACTTAAAACCAAAATTAATATAGAAATTAATAAAAACAATATATAATGCATAAAAAACAAATCTACTAAAAATGACAAAATTGAGTAATAAAATGAAATTACTCAAACTTTAACTAAAATTAAAATTAAAACAGAAAATCTAAAAACGGACTCAAAATATTATATATAGTTATTTTATATTTATATAAAATATCTTTCCAATTTAATTACAAAAAATTCTCATTGTCCAAAGATTTAGTTTTCTACGCTAAATTCTGTTTTAAACCCATCTAGACCAACTGGCCCAGATCCTAGCTTGGAGTTATGTGAGAAGTTTTGTAACTTCTTCATTAACAAGATTGCTTCTATCAGGGTGCAGATTTCTTGTAATTTATCCCAGAATTTTCAATATGCAAATATTAGCTCCTCTGCATTTTCAAACTTTCAAGCTATTTCACTTTCTGAGTTGTTGAACATTGTTTTAAATATGAAACAAACTACCTGTTCTCGTGGTTTTGTTCCTACAAAGCTGCTTAAGGATGTTCTGCCCTCTGTTTTGCTTAGTTTATTTCCTATTATCAATGGCTCTTTACAAATAGGCATTGTTCCATCCTGCTTTAAACATGCTGTGGTCCAGCCTTTACTCAAGAAAAAATGAATCTTGATCCCACTGAATTAAATAATTAAAGGCCTATTTCAAAACTGCCATTTCTGCACAAAGTTTTGGAAAAGGTTATATTTAACCAGATTTCCCTCTACCTAAATTCTAATGATATTCTGGATCCTTTTCAGTCTGGCTTTAGAGCAAAACATAGTACTGAGTCAGCTCTTTTAAGAGTAGTAAATGATCTCTTGTTATCTGCAGAAGACACTGGTAACTGTACTATTCTCTTATTATTGGACCTGAGCGCAGCTTTCGATACAGTAGATCACCACATCCTGTTAAAAAGATTAAATCTTGAGGTTGGCATTTGTGGTACTGCATTAGACTGGTTTGCATCGTATCTGACAAATAGGAGCTTTTCGGTGGAAATTGGTGAATTTTCATCAAGCTCAGTTCCCATCACTTGTGGAGTACCCCAGGGCTCTATTTTGGGTCCAATTTTATTCTCCCTGTATTTGCTCCCTCTTCGTTTTATATTTGAGTCTCATAAAGTTTCATACCACATTTACGCAGATGACACTCAGCTTTATTTTCCTCTAAAATCAGGTTCTGATTCAGTGTCTTCCTTGCTGGCTTGTTTAGAAGACATCAAGAATTGGATGGAAAATAATTTCCTAGAGTTGAATCAAAAAAAGACTGAAGTTATATTATTTGGCCCTTCTCACCATTTACATAATTTAAGACCTACTCTGGGCCCTTTTGAAGAAAACATCCGTGAAGAGGTTAAAAATTTATTTTTTATCCTGAATTGAAATTTGACAAATTATTTTAAATATGAAATCAACTACTTGTTCTTGTGATGTTGTTCCTACAAAGCTGCTGAAGGATGTTCTGCCCTCTGTTTTGCCTAGCGTACTTTCTATTATTAATGGTTCTGTACAGACAGGCATTGTCCCTTCCTGCCTTAAACATGCTGTGGTCCAGCCTTTACTCAAGAAAAAATGAATCTTGATCCCACTGAATTAAATAATTATAGGCCTATTTCAAAACTGCCATTTCTGCACAAAGTTTTGGAAAAGGTTGTATTCAACCAGATTTCCCTCTACCTAAACTCTAATGATATTTTGGATCCTTTTCAGTCTGGCTATAGAGCAAAACATAGTACTGAGTCAGCTCTTTTAAGAGTAGTAAATTATCTCTTGTTATCTGCAGACACTGGTAACTGTACTATTCTCTTATTACTGGACCTGAGCGTGGCTTTCGATAAAGTAGATCACCGCATCCTGTTAAAAATATTAAATCTTGATTTTGGCATTTGTGGCACTGCATTAGACTGGTTTGCATCGTATCTCACAAATAGGAGCTTTTCGGTGGAAATTGGTGAATTTTCATCAAGCTCAGTTCCCATCAGTTGTGGGGTACCCCAGGGCTCTATTTTGGGTCCAATTTGATTCTCCCTGTATTTGCTCCCTCCTCGTTTTATATTTGAGTCTCATAAAGTTTCATACCACATTTACGCAGATGACACACAGCTTTATTTTCCTCTAAAATCAGGTCCTGATTCAGTGTCCTCCTTGTTGGCTTGTTTAGAGGAGATCAAGAGTTGGATGGAAATTAATTTCCTACAGTTGAATCAAAAAAAGACTGAAGTTATATTGTTTGGCCCTTCTCACCTTTTACATAATATAAGACCTACTCTGGGCCCTTTTGAAGAAAACATCCGTGAAGAGGTTAAAAATTTATTTTTTATCCTGAATTGAAATTTGACAAACAAATTAACTCTGTAGTCAGAGCCAGTTTTTTGCAGCTTAAGGGGCTTCGCAAGCTGAAACGTTTTCTCAGTTTTAATGATTCAGAGGTTGTTATTCATGCATTACTTTCAACCAGGCTGGATTACTGTAACGCTCTTTACGCTGGAATTAACCAGTCTTCACTATCACGTTTACAATTGGTACAGAATGCCGCTGCTTGCTTTTTGACAGGGACAAAAAGAAAGGAGCATATTACGCCTGTGTTAGCTTCACTTCACTGGTTACTTGTTAAATTCAGAGTTGATTTTAAGGTTTTAGTTTTTGTATTTAAAGCACTTCATGGTCTTGCCCCAATTTACATTTCAGATCTTCTCCATTTCTACTCTCCTGTGAGAACGCTTAGATCGTCTTCCCAGAAGTTATTGATTGTCCCAAAATCTTGTTTAAAATCTAAAGGGAACAGGGCTTTTTCAGTTCTAGGTGCTACGCTCTGGAACTCTTTGCCTTTATCCATCAGATCATCCCCTACGTTATCTTCTTTTAAATCATCTCTTAAAACATATCTTTTTT